CTCCCCTGGGGGGGCGTGCAGAAAATTTTTCACGAATGCTTCAAAATATATTTTGAATCATGCTATAACGATTTATCGAATGGCCTTTTCCTTACATAATAATAATAATAATAATAATAATAATAATAATAATAATCATTTTGATTTTTATTATATAATTGTTAAATTATATATATGTATAGAATATTATTATTATTGTTGTGAATATAAATATTATATATGTCAAGAATATTATTATTGTTATTCTTTAAAACACTCTTCGATATACTGTAAAAATGCATTAATAATTCAATTTCTTAATGATTATAATGATAAATCATGTTGCAAAATTGAAGAAATTAGATTCATTGATTTATATAATTCATTCTTTTCATATATAAGATTAATATGAATGTACTTGTGTATATTTTAATATTATTTATCGATTTATTTGATATTATCTTTAGTTTTATCATCCTTGTTTCTAACATTTTTGGTTATATAATAAATGCAATTTTCCATCGTTGTTCCTGAGTTCCGCATCCTGACATTTCTGTTGGAACATTGCCAATAAATACTGCAATGGAATCGTGAAAATAAACGCGCGTCGATCGACCTGCGATCGGTAACTGCAACTGCAACTTGCAACTGCAACAGCAGTTGTAAAAACAGCACAGTAGGAACAGCAGGCCATCATTTTTGTTGTTGATGTTGTTGTTCTTTTCGAAAGAAATCCGTAACAGAATTGTTGTTCCTCTCGATCATTCTTCCTTCTTTTCATGGGGGTTTATTATCCCTCAGAGACCCATTTAAACTTGACAAAGAATGCTTGCATTTGTATTCCGCTATAGGTCACATCAGACGAATTTAGGAAAAAAAAGAAACCTTTGGATTCATCTCTTAATTATTCCCAAAAGAATGTTTAACCATAATTTTATCGATATCTATAAAAATTCATTTAAAAATATTATCAGATGTAATATATTTATCGATTTGGGATGTGTTCCAATTGAAACAATTGCAATATTTATTAATGTATATATTTTCTAATTTTTCTAATTTTGTGAAAAAGAAATTTTTAAATATTATATATATATAAGTGTGTATATGTGTGTCTATATACACCGATAATTATAACAGTAGAACAAATGAAAAATTGTTTAAATTTAATTTTATGATTTATATTGTATATAGTACAATATATTATATTTATTTAATTTATATTGTCATAATTATTGACACATATACATGCATATATTATATTTATATTATATACTATTTGGATATTAAATATATTATAGAAAAATTATATTTCATAGAAATTTAAAATATGCATATCTTTTGTTTTTTTTTTTCAACCAGTAATAAGACATTTTATTAATTGCTAATTTTGTAATGTATAAAAATAATACCCCTTTTACTGTTCATAAATTTCTCTCTCTCTATAAAGGAGAAATTTCTTTTTGATCTCTTTTATAATACGAGAAATTTAAGAAGAATATAAAGCAATAATCTGTCTTCTTGTGCTAGATCTCTTCCTTTGTTTAATCTTTCTCTTTTTCTCTATCAATGTCCCAACCGAATGGCGAATACGCGGACAGCCAATGTTGGGCCTTTAATGAAACTTCCGGCTTTTATAGAAGGAACCCCCCCACACGACTTGTCTTCTTTTTGTGATGATCGAACAACACCAACTAACTTGTATATGTGTGTATGTGTGTATATGTACTAAACGTTGCTTCACGACACTTCAAAAATAAAAATTTACAAATTTCATTTTTCTACACGAATGATAGAAGAACATTTTTTGTTTTCACGAATATTACGATTCTATTATTGAAAATAAAAGTAATGAAAAAGAAAAAAAAAGGTAACGATTAAGACCTCGTTAAAATAATTATATATTTAAACATAGAATAATAATATTATTATTATTATCACAATCAAGGAATCAATTGTTCTGCGGATTCAACCAATTATTCAAATGATGAAAATAATTTAACACTAAATCTAACAATATCTTCGTATATATACCTATATTCTTATCAGGAAAGGTCAGATGACTGGGTTAAAAACAAAAAAAAACATATATCCTTCATATAGAATAAGATTTTAGCCAATTGAATTGTGAACAATATATTATCTTTTATTCGGAAATAAATAATGTATATTTTATACATTTTCAGTACATTTTTTGTTGTTTAAAAAGATACTTTGATAGTATTATACAAATGTGAGAAAATGTTCGTAGAAAAATAATTCGAATCCATAAAAGAGAGAATAAAACAAAACAAGCGAATAAAAATATATTAAAAACAAAAATAAGAAAAAGATATATACACATATATATTTTTCTTCTCGCACAAGAACAGGAATAGAAAATTATTTTATTAATCCTGTGTTATATATATAATAATAATAATAATAATAATAATATTTATCCATTCGCATAATTTCACATTTCTCGGTTTACTCGTAAGACGATTATTCGCAAAGCTATCTATAAAGGTATAAGTTACTACTAGAAACAGGGATATAATCTTGTTATCTATTCACATCGTTCTTAATTATTGTATCGTTAAATGGAACTTAGTATGTATTATATATATATATATATACAATACATACATACATAAATAAATCATAGAAATGAAAACATTTACCTTACGATGTAAAATTAATCGACGTTTAAAAGGTTTACAAAGGGTAGTCAAACTTTGTAATAGAAAGGGATAGATATATAAACATATTTAAATGATAATAAGAAATAAAAAGAGAAAGAGAGAGAAATTGCTGGAAAGAGAAACTCCAGCTAGTCATCCGTACGAATTTATTGATCTCTAGGAGGCCTTATGTAATCCCCGGCCTTTGTCCCTTGCATTTTATTTCCGTTTCTCGTTCGGTTGGAAACAGAAGGAAAAAAAAAAAATAAAAAAGGAAGGAAGGAAGGAAGGAAGGAAGAAATGATGGAGAAAGAAAAAGGAGAGGAGAGGAGAGGAGGAGAAGAAGAAGAAGGTGGTGGTGGNAAAAAAAAAAAAGGAAGGAAGGAAGGAAGGAAGGAAGAAATGATGGAGAAAGAAAAAGGAGAGGAGAGGAGAGGAGGAGAAGAAGAAGAAGGTGGTGGTGGTAGATGTTTCTAGTCGACGCACATAATCTTTTTACCTCTTGGATTTCACCTTTCACCGACGTTGTATATCATCGTCGGAATAAATGATCGTGAAAGAGAGTAAAACGTTTAATTTTTCCATTCGTTGCATTTCCTATCGTACGGTCATACGACGACGATGATGAACACCCCTAACCTTCATATTCAATATAATATTGTATAACTTGGTTGTATTGTAAAAGGATGGGATTGGGTTGTCTCATTGTCCCCAGAATATATTTATATATATATAGATATAGGTTCTTTTATAAATTATTCAAAGAAAACCGAGTAAGAGAAGAAAGTATTAAATTGAAGTTATTTGAAAAATGAATATAGGGAAGGACACGTTAACTTATGTATGTAATATAATATCATGAGAAATAATTCTCTCCTAACTCTCCCTCTCCTATATCCCGAATTTGATATTCGTATCGGACGATATATAATGTAAAACTTTGAAGCATGTGGTCAATACTCGAAACATTAATATTTTTGTGATTTACGAATAGAAAATATCATTTGAAATTCAAACAAAATATCAATATATACGAGAATTTGAATGAAAAGTAACGTATAACGTATTATAAAGAGTTTAATTATTATTTACAAATATATTATTATTATTATTATTTATTAATAAATAAGTATCGTTGGGAATTCGGACATTAAAAAGAACTAGAACTTCGTTTTGATTAATTAGACGTTTTCGTCCCTTTATTATTGGGACTTCTTCAGCAACTTAATCTCTAAAGTTCAGCGTCTTTTTTTTATTTAAATTTATTAAATTTCAATAATTATATTAAATTTATTTTTATTTTTATGTAATATTCAAAATATATATTATATTTATTACATTATATATACATTTTATATACATTATTATATACATAATAATATATATTAAATTTATTTTAATTTTTATGTAATATTCAAAAAACTACAAATCTAAACTTCGTTATCCCTTGATCCGTTATATTTGAACACTCAACAAAACCATTATATTTACAATTATTATTATACAAAATAATCTAGAGACAATCGGTATTTTGTACTTTATCAATAATTATCAATTACAAAATGTTATATTTAACGATCAATTAGTTATTTCTAAAAATATTATTTCAAAGAGAAACGTAGAAAATAATAGAAAGAGAAAAAAAAACAAAAGAGAATATTTTTTCGTTCACAGAAGCAGCATCGGCAGGCAGTGTTGATAGCGAGGCATCCAAAGGAGGAATAATAGTAGTCAATTTCGATTCGTTGAATCGTTCCCTGACAATAAATCAGGCACGAACAACTACGACAACTACAACAACAGCAACGACGTGGAGATACAACAAGGAAACAAACAACAAAATGGTTGCCTCGATGCACAATCTCGAAGATCTTGGCGTAAGCCAACCAGCCAGTGCTAGCGGTAACGAGAGACAACAACAACAACAAGTTATTCAAGAGAAACATACAACGGCACACGTATACAGATCAGCGCAAACTGCACAGGACAAAAGGAGTAGGCTTAGCAATGTGATCAACAATTTAAGGAAAAAGGTTCCGGATGGTAGGAATAGTAATAATAATAATAGTGGGGTTGATTCGGCTATTCGAAAGGATGAGGATGATAGAAACAGCGTTGAGAGGAATCTCGAGACTTTAGAGAAATACGTGATGACCGTGTTGAATGGTGTGATAAAGGATGAAGAGGAGGAGGAGGGTGACAGGGGCGAGGGAGTTGGTGGGGAGGGGGGAAAGGCAGCGGTAGTACGGGTGGAAGGGACAGGAAAAAACGACGAAGGAAAGATCGAGAAGAAAGAAACTGAGAAGAACCTAGTTGTTGGTAGTGGTGGTGGTGGAGAAGGAGGAGAAGGACCCAAGGACGAAGAGGAGGAAGAAGAGGATGAGGAGGAGGAAGAAGAAGGGGAGGAGGAGGAAGAAGACGAGGATTCGAAGGGACCGAAATTCGAGCCTTCCAAACCTAACGAGAGTAGAACCGAAGCTGCTGTTGCGGTCTTTTTACCATCCGAACATGCCGACAAAATGAAGAATGATTTGGACGGTGATACCAGCACCGTTCATTGCGAATACGGAAACACTGATATGGATTGGACTGAGAGTACAACGAAAATGCAAATGACGAAGACGACGACGACGACGACTTTAGAATCTGCTAAGAATTTAGATGAATTCGGAAAAGTTACGTCTCCGCGTCGTCTTCAATTGTTGTCCCCGTTCGATCTCGATAAAAATAAATTTAACGATAATTCTTGTTCGAAGAATTTCGATAAGGAAACTAATCATTCGTTATTATTAATTAACGATACCGAAAAATCGGAGCCTGACAAGAAGGAAACACGTTCTCTCGGTATGATCATTATGGAAAGGTTTGATCATCCAATAGTCGAAGGAGGAAGAAATACCAACAACGTCGATGAAATCATGGAAAATCTCGAGTTACGTGATACTTGTCGTGACTTATTGAACGATTTATTAAACGGTATTGATCATCAATTAACCGATAAGAAAACGAATTCTACGGAAATGATTAACGTAACACGAACTTTCGGTATCACGGAAGAAACGAAAAATTCTCAGGTACACGAGGAACTTTCACCTACGAGTTTTCATTGTAGTTTACCACTCGAAAGGATCGCATCGGTTTTACAACAAAATTGTTGTCAACCTTCTACTGTTACTACTACTACTACTACTACTACTACAGTTGCTACCCCATCTCTAGTGGAAACTTTTACGGTTCAACAACAACAGTCGCCATCTTCTTCCTCAATTTCATTATCCTCATCCGCATCTTCTTCCTCTTCTTCTTCTTCCTCATCTTCCTCTCCTTCTTCTTCAAAGTCTCCGTTAAATTCCCATCAAATACAAACCGTCGCAAAGCCAGCGACAACATCGTCAAAATCACCGTCACCAACGGTGAGACATCTTTGCCTTTATTGCGACAGAAAGTTTTTGTCAATATCTTTACGACAGAGACATACCGAAAGGGTCCACCAATCGGGTGGTGGCCGCCGTTCAGGAAGAAACTTACGAAGATCTTCGCAAAATTGTCAATACTGTTCTGACAAATGCTTGGACAGTTTGGAATGTTTGTTCATTCACATGGCCGATAATCATGCCGACAAATATCACGCTTGCCTTCAATGCTTGACGAGATATTTAACAAAGGAAGCATTACTCGTTCATATGACCGAAATGCATGCAGTTTCTTCATCTTCTTCTTCTTCTACTTCTACTTCTACTTCCCCCGTGAGAGAAAGGACGCCACAAATTCAGGTAAAAATCAACTCACGTTTGTTTCTATGTATAACTTTTTTTTAGGAGGGAGGTTGAGACAAATTGTTAATGTCAAACATTAGAAAAACAATTCGAGCTAAATTTCATTGTAATATGATTATATTTCACTTATATCGATATTATCTCGAAGGAAAAATTTTAATATAGAAAAAAGATTATTCATGAAAATTAATCTATTTAATATAAACAATCGAAATTTGTATTGTTAACGATAAAAACGGATTATTATTATTATTATTATTGTATTCGAATATAGAAAAAAAATTGTGATAATAAATTTGTTTAGGAAAAAACGAAGGAACCAACGACTTCGTGTAAGAAGAAGAAGGAGGTCGTTTGCCAAAGTTCCAATGAAAAATCTGACGTCCTGGCCTCGAAAGAGAGAAAACCGTGTGACGCGGAAGTGGAATATCGATCGGAAAGTAGCTTGCTGAAGCACCACGTCGTACCGACTACTACGAAGGACGTTTTCAGCAATCCCGGTAGCCCGGAATTCGATAGTTCCTTTTACAGCAGCGTGAGTTGCAATATTCGTGAGAATTTACTTCATCATTTGGATGGAAAATTGCAAACAGGAACAACGTCCTCGTCGTCGTCGTCGTCATCGTCGTCTCCAAGCAATGGTAATAATTCGTCTATGACGACTACTACAACTATGACGACAATGACGGCAACAACTACCACAACTATGATGGTTACGACAATGACTACGACGATAACTACGACAATGACTACGACGACGACTATGGTGCCAGCTGTGTCCTCTTCCTCTTCCTCCTCTTCTTCCTCCTCGTTGTCGTCTTCGTCGTCGTCGTTGTCGTTGTCGTCATCGTCATCGTCGTCGGTGACAACAACGGAATCATCAAAACCACAACAATCATTTTACGAACAGCACAACAATGCAAATCAAATTCAATTTCCGATCGATATCTCGTTAACCGCTGCCACGCCAGTTTATAACAAAGATTATGCAGTTGAGGAATACGAAAATTCGAGCGAATACGCACAGAAACCTGGTAAAAGTAGCAGATCTTATCCCCGAAGGGTATCATTCGAAAAATACAACTTCCCGAGAAAATACGATGGGAAGGAACAGTGGACCTGTTCGATCAAGGATCTCAGTAAATTCGATATATCGACGCAATTATCATTGAGAAAGAAACAACAATTGTTGAAGGAACGTATCAAATTGAACAGGTTACAACAGATATCTCTAGTTAATTCGATTCCAAATAACGAGATCGTACAAACTAATCTCGCGAACAACGAACAAACCTGCAAAGAGAAAAGTAAAGATACCAACAACGATGAGGAATCGATAATCGATCATCCTTGCGCCTCCCTTGGTGAAAACAATGGCCTTGATCAGTCATCCTGTTTAAAAGCTATTGGTTTGATCGATCGACGGGATAAAGAAATTATTCGCGTGGATCAAACGGTGGATCAATCTCTACGGTCTACGGAGTTTAGTTTCGAGTTCGGTAATTTCATGAGACTTCAAAAGTGGGACGATGCTACTGCTAATGCTGCTACTGCTGCTACTGCTGCTGCTGCTGCTGCTGCTGCTGGCAATGCTAATGCGAAAATGCAGGAAGTCATTTACGCCGAATTAACTGGCGAATGGTCAAGACCCAGGATTTATATTTGCGGTGCATGTACTACCAGACACGTGAGTTATTCGTATTATATTTCATTTTTTATTTTCATATTTGATCATATTTCAACATTTTTCCACTCCCCCTCCTAAAAATAAATACCGATATCGTTTTTTTTCGTATAGGTAACCCTGAGGGAAATGGAAGATCACAAATCTTCCATGCATCCAAATGTTTGGTGCTCCCATTACGAATTTTCCGGGGATCAACGTGAATTATACAAACATTTATTTCTACCAGGACGTAGTACGCCTACGATAAAAGCTAAGAATGCCACTTTACCGGAAAAAATCTGTACCAAGTGTTCGAAAAATTGTAGTACACTTTCGGAGTTACACAGACACATGCTGGAATGTGGTGGTGATCAGGCTTGGTTGTTGGGACTTTTTGGTAATGGAAAAAAGAAATGCAAGTGGCGTCCGTTCGGTAGTCGTAGCAGAAGACGCCGTCAACGTGGAATGAAAAGAAATATTCAAAATTCTCAATCACCTCGTACAAACGTGCCCAGGGAAAAACAACCAACCGGGCCTAGGGTTCGACCTAGTGACCGTAAGATACAATCGATAATCGTCTTATTCGTGTTTTTATTCAACGTATTTTTTTTTGTATTTTATCTATTTTAACCCTTTGATTGTGCTGATATTGTTAACTGAAGTGTTTAGTAACGATGGAATACTTTTTATTACTAGTATATTTGTTTCATTGATTGATTTTATTCTCTAATCCAGATCTTAATAATAAATTATATTTAATACACTTTTGGGGTTTCTTACATAATTTTCATGTGACAAGATTCAAAACGTTAATTAATATACTATACAATATTACAATATTTGCATTTATATTGATAAACGCGTATATACGTTAATAGTTCACGTTGGAAACTTTTATCAAACGCATATATGCGTTCGTAGCACTCAAAGGGTTAATCAAAAATTTTCTCACAAGCCTCTTATGCAATGAAAAAAATTTTAACGAAAATAAATCAATGATACGAAACAATTCTAAAAATATATCCACGCTTGAACGTTGTTTGATCAAATCAAATTTCTTCAAAAATTGGTATGAAAATAATCATTTGTTTAATATAATTTTAAAAAGAAAATAAAAATATGTAGATACTTAAAACTATTATTTGAATGTCCTTAAATTATTATACGTATCTCGAGAAATGATTTGCAGATCTTTTGAGAACATTACGATTATATTGTTCTCAGGTGAGAGTATTCAAAAAATGTTGGCCAATCTACCCCCCAAAAGGGCTACAAGAAAAGTTTTACAGGACAACACTTTGAGAAATCAAGGCAAACTGCGTACGGTAAGTTATATGTTCATATGCAAAATTATTAATTCGCGCGAAGAATAGTTGAGAGGAATAATTTATAATGAGATTATTATTATTATTATTATTATTATTATTATTATTAAATAGTAGCGCATTTATTAAACTTGAGAATTTAAAACATAATAATGAAGTTAGTTAATTGGAACAATTGGTATAATCACATTTTCACAAATATCCCATAATAATTTAATTCTATCAAAATTATTGACATATGCTTGACAAATAATTTTAGAACTAGTTTTCCTTTCCTTTTTTTTTTTAATTTTAACTTATATCCTTTTCAAAAGTAGATAATATATTTTTAATCCAAATCTCGATCCAACTTTAATTAACAACAATCATCCTAAATAACCTTAAACAATTCGTTCCTATAAAAATCCGATAAAAAGAAATATTACACAATTAATAATTTGACATTAATTTCAATTAAAAAAAAAACCTCATTTAGAATCAGATAATAAAAAACTTAAAAAATTATTTTAAATATTTACTTAATATATATATATATATATATCATTTTGTATAAACAAATATATTTTTGATCCCAATTATTATCTAACAACTATTATAAGTTTAACTAATGAGGCAAGTAATATTCTCTCTTTCGGATATCTCAAAATGATTTATTTTCACATTGACCGGTTTAAAAAGTCTGGCGTTAATGTAAGATTATGAACGTTAGGTGACCCTAAAAGCTTTGTGTGCTTCGTTACGAAAAAGTTAAACAAGTTGATAATGATAAGAAAACGATGAAACGCATAACGGCTGGTTGGAGTGGATGACACGGATATAAATGGAGTATTGATTAGCTCACACACACACATCCATCCATGCGAAAGTTGCACGCGCGCTATCTCTCTACCCCCTCTAACACCCCTGCCCCACCCCGCAAACTCCCACTCCCACCAACACCCCTCTTTGTCGTTTGTACGCGTGTTGTACATTGCAAAAATTGTTCACATATAATATATACGTGTATGTTATACGAATGCGTATGAGAAAAATAGAAAAAGAAAATAATAGGACATTCGTAGTGTAAATTTTTATGTTTTTTATTTTTTTTTTTGTTCAATTTTTATGCCCTCGGTCCAACACAACCAATCGCGATAAACTTTTTGTCAGATTTTTGTTTATTAAACTTCTTTATTACTTTAAAATTTTTGTACTCTCGTCTCTACGTATAAACACTATTGTATTGTAGTTATAATATATAGTAGTGTGTGATCGATTTTTTTTTTTTGTATTTTAATTTCCATCGTTCGAAAATATAGACAGGTATTTTTTAATAATGTGCGTTATATTGAAATAGGAATAATAAAGTTTTGTATTCTTTTAATTTTTTTTTTTTTCCAATGACTGTTGACGTTGAAAAGGATTAATTATTATTCAAGATGTTTTCATAATATTCGATCCAATAATGTTGTTATTTAAATGGTAATGAAAATGGAAATAAATTAGTTTCATCGATGTGAAAGTATAGAGAAATATTAGGTAGTAATTTGATTGGATGTTTTAAAACGCACCCTTATTTGCTATCTATTCATTCATCAATGATCGATATTTTTATTATCGTCTTTTAAATATAAACAGGTTTACATACGTCATTGAAACAAGAATAATAAAGTATTATTTTTCATTTGTCTAATAAAATTAATTATATTGAGTAGAATTAATATTATGTCTTAAAATAATATTCAATCCGATATAGTGTGTTTGTAATTTATTGTAATTTCAATGATAATGAAAATAGTTATATATTTTTTTATTTCTTTTTTGGATTGATATTAATAACAAAACAAAGAAAAATTGGCAATAATGTTGATCACGTAAAAAATAATATAATATTATTTCTTATTAGAATAATTAATTATATCGTAATATAATATTATTAGGGTGTTTTTTGAAAATATTCGATCGATAATAATATTAACAATTTCACAATGTTAATAAAAATAGATATTATTCTCTCTCTTTATTGCTATCCTTATCATTGACAAAACAAAAAGAAGAAAATTGTTAATAATTTGTGATCGGATGTTTTACAAGACACCCTTTTTTCTGTAATCAATCTGTTGATCATTGAAGATAGGCGCGTTTATAGTGTTGAACCATAACTGTTTGTATAGGTCCAGACGAGATCACGACCACGTATGAGCAACGATAGTTCAACAGCATCAAGGATGTCCAGGAATAAGGCAGTTTTAAGGAACAAATTGTTGAAGAATGCTAAATCAATTCAACGTAATCGTTGCAGAAGTGACAACATATCGGCTGTTATCGAAAGTGTCATTAATGATTATAACGAAATAGATGACAATGATAATAAAGAACGAAAACTCGACGGGGGGGATAATAATAATAAGAAGGAAAAGGATAGAACGACTATGGAGGCTAGCGGGAATAGCGAGACAACCAAAGAGAAGATTGAAACTACCTCGAAGGATAGAAAGGATGAGACGGAAGGAGGTGGTGTTGGTAGTGGTAGTGGTGGTAGTGTTGGTGGTGGTGGTGGTGGTGCTAGTAGAGAGAATAATAAGCCGAAGGTCGGACGGCCCAGGGTGCTTGGAAAGAAAAGGAACATAAAGGTGAAAAATGCAGTCGTTGAGAACGTCGATGCACGTGGTACGACGATGAAACGCGAACGAGTTAGAGCGAGGAGGAACAAGACGACCTTGAAAGCAACATCCAACTATCAGATTAGGATACAAGATTCGACGAAAATCGATAGTAAAAGTGCGAAGAATAATATAAAAACGTCTAATAAAATATCGGACATTGATAATAATGAATCTGATAAATCTGTTATTGTTAAAACATCACCGTCTAGTGGTAAAAACAAATCAACGTCCGGTCAAACAACCCCAAAACGTAAACGTTCGGTTGATCCGGTTACTTCATTGAACGCATCGATAAAAGCTAAATCACAATTACGTACGCAGGATGGAAAATTTGCGAGAAATCCTAACAAAGTTTCGTCTAACGTTCAACAACAATCATCGAACACGAAAATTCGCGATATTAAATCACCGATAGTACGTAACATTGGTAAAGATTTATCTGAATTATCTAAATCTAAATTGAATCAGATCGTAAGTAAAACTAAAAACAACGATGAGATACAAGTACCTAGGAGAACAACGAGATTGTCATCTGACAGTGACAAGATGCCAACTTTGGAACCGGTGATACAGATATCGTCTAACGAGGAATACGTTGATAAATCGGCCAACGATTTGCCTATACTATCTCCCGTAAGTAATCCCGATCAAAAGATACTTCGTGGTATGAATAAAAATGTTGAAAACGAAAGAGACAGTCCTACGATGTCATCCAAAGTTATTGGAAATTGTACGAACGAAACGTGCGATAAGTCATCATCATCATTATCATCATCATCATCATCCAACAAGATCGAAGATCAGAGACAATACAAAAAAAGAAAAACGACTGTTGACAATAAGATAATCGATCGAAAAATCGAACAGCAGGAGACCGTACCAGTGGCAGTGGTAGGAGAAAATCAAAATAACTCGAACAAGTTGATCATTCGTGAGAGTAGAATACGAACGAGAAAAAGTGCTCCGGTAAAAAGCGTTAACAGCAACAATACTTTGGAAGAAAATGTAAGGAAGGAAGATGGGAGAAGGGTCCCGAGGGGTTCGAAGTGTCGTGCTACTTCAGCTGACGGTACGAAGAACGATTCGACGAGGGATGAACAGTCGAATTTATCGAAAACCTTAGAGACGAGAAGTTATTCGAGAACTCGACAAGATCGTGGTATCTATTCGCAGGACATGGAATCTCTTAATACAAAGGACATGCCATTCGAAGTGAAAAAACTCTTGATAGGATTGCACGCGAACGCTAGGGAAGATATTTACAATTTTTTTAGGCTCGATTTAACATCCCTCTTAAATATCTCATCGAAACGTAGTCTAAGACAATCGGGTTCGAGATTGGATTCACAAATAAATGCTAATAAAAACGTTGGCAAAATTTCTAAGGAACATCAGGATTCGAATACTCGTGTCAACTGTGCAACTGAAATCTCACGGAAATCTTCTACCTTGGATGTACCAAAGACTTGGTCGAAAACATCAAAGAAAGAGAAGACTAGTTTTTTAAGAAAGTCACCGAGAAATAATGAAAAAAAGGGAAACGTTGATAAGACCAAAATAATGGATGAAGACAAATCATTGGCGATTGTCGAGAATGTTGACAATGAGGAAAACACAAAAACAATGAATAACAGTGATTCTAATTCGAAGATAACTGAGGAAGCCAAAGATAGTACTATTACTTGTTCGGAAACAACACCTTCGTGCAATTCTGAAATAGAAAATGATAAGAAAAATTCCGCAGATACTGACGACCAAGAACGATCGGAAAGTAATCAAAAAAATCTCAATGATGATCAGAAAGTATCCGAATGTAATAAGAAAGAAAGTATCGCGGATGAAAGTAACGACGTTATATTAAAGAAGAACACATCGTTGGGCAAACGACGCGGTAGAATCAAATCAAACGTGGATCAAATAATAGATGAACAATATGAGGATATCAAAAGTAATTCATCACCGAGCGTTACAAATATTACCAATGAAGTAGAATCATTTGACAAGGAAGATACGAAAGAAATACAACAGAATAACAACGAACAAAATAATACCGATAGTACAATTACGGAATCAAAAGATTCGAAAATATCTCTGGAAAAGACGAATATCGATCCGATTAATTTAAACCTGAGTCATTTGCAATCGGAAACAACAAATTCGATCGACAGCGGTAAAGAAAATTCTATGGAATCTTCGACAATTAATTCGCACAAGCCGAAAGTTGGAAGACCGAAAAAATGTTGGGGTTCGCGGCGTGAAAGAACATCGAAAAGATCTTTGAGTAACGTTATTGGCATATTAACGGAAGGTATGAACATACCCGTTGAAGTTCAACAAAGTGTCGTTCTTACTGTTCAAACTAACGTAGAAAACAATGTTAATCCTGTTGGTGTTGCACAAAGTAATGCTTCTCAGCCAGCTGGTGGCAATATCGTTAATAATACAGAGAAAATTTCGGAAATTGATACAGCGGTATCATCTTCTACGATAGATTTATCTCGAGATGAAAAAGAACGTGAGAATGATGATAAACAATTAACGCCAACACCGGTGGTGTTAACACCTGAAGATCGTACACCTAAAGTCGTTGATAAATCACCTACAATACGTTCGCCAACGAATGATATCATTTTAGATCTTTCCAAAAGGAAACCTAGAAAAAAGGGTTCGTTTTTAGAAAAAATCGTCTCGAAAATCGCCAAACAAAAGGATGCACTTTTGGAAGGTGAAGTTGGTACACTTTTGGATATAGCCGCTGACGAATTAACTAGCATACTAGATGAAGTGGGACCTACTTTGGATACCAATAACGATACTTCACAAGAAAATAAAGTTATTACTGCTGGAATAGCTACGAGAGAGAAATTAATGGAGCCTAAATTAATCGTGGTTGAGAATGTTGTCGAACGTTGTGAAGGTAATAAATCAATTAGTAAGAAAAATAATCTAGATAAAAATCCTGAATTATTAGATGAAACGATTAAAAGGAACGATGATACACTTTCAACCGATGAAGTTGCTAACGAATCTGTTATCGAGCTTAATCCTAATCTGGATGAGAAAAGATCTGACGATAATATTATTATGGATCAATTGGATCGTGTAATATCAGAATATAAAACCGACGGGTCTGATAAATTAAATCTAATTCGATCCGATGAAATAATTAAGCAAAAAGAAGAAAAAGAAGAAGTTTCGACTAATATTTTAAACACTGTTTTTATAAAGGATAAACGTGAAATTGATAATATTGTAGAAAAATGTTTGCCTATAGAAGATAATCAAATGGAAAATAAAATAAAATTAACTAAAAATGATAATGTCAGCGTCGAAATTATTTCTAAATCAAAACGAAAGTTTAAAAAAAGATCGGATGATAGTAGTAGTAGTAATAATAGTAATAACTCGATGAAAAATCACAAACAAATATCGGTCGCAGTTGATAAAGTTTCAATGGAAGATTTACATACTGATAAACCACGATTGGAAAATAATGATCAGCAAGGAAATCATGATTTGATAGAAAATACAGATGTCACGTCTACGATAGAATGTAATATATTGAATAATATTAACAACGAAGTGAAAGAAGTTAAAGATCAATCTAATGAAAAAATGATCGAGAAAGATTATGAACATAGATACGATAATTCGAATAATGATTCCAACAAGTTACAATTTAATACAATTATCGAAAATACGACAAAATTAAGAACAAACGTCAATGAGAAAGTTGACGAGTGTAATTCAAAGGAAAACGAAATAATAATATCAAATACCGATAATAAATTATTATTAGATGAAAATAGAACGACGATGATTAAAGAAAATCATGAAAGAAAATTAGAAGTAGGATCGATTTCTAACGAAACTATTACAACTACTACTAGTAACTTGTTGATATCACGAAAACAAAACAAACGTAAGTCAGCAGTAGAAGTTAAATCAAATTTCATGGGTAGAAGGTTTTCTAAAAGAAAATTAAACTCCGAGGACGTTTCCGATTTCATCAAGGAAAACGTACTACTATATCGATCGGATACCCCCTCGAGCGAAACGAGAATTCAGAAAGAAGAAACTACTAGTACTAGTACTACTACTACTACTACTACTACTACTACTACTACTACTACTACTACTACTACTACTGTAGTTACGACGTCTCGAAGAAGAAAATCCTCGAGGCTGAAATCGTCGTCTGTTATCGATGTTGTTCCAGGTAACGTAGAAGAGGAAACATTCGATGACGTTAAAAATAATTTATCTTACGACGATCCGTCGATTAATAAAATAAACGTTGATGATAATATTACTACTACTACTACTACTACTACATCTGTTAGAACAGAAATATGTGAATTAAAGAAGGAAGAGGAAAAAAAAAAAGTAAGTTCTTCGATGCAACAGCAGCAGCATCCAACGATATTGCGCATACCTGAGATATCAAAGTTATATGACAACAATATTTGTCAGGAAAATGTCAAGAAAGATTCATCGTTCATAAAAATCAATGATTCGATAGTTGCTGACGATTCCGAAAGAATTTCTTCTACAACGTCCACCAATCAAACGCAAAAAATTGTTAAGAAACGTGGAAGGAAAAAGAAATCATTGGCGGACGAACATTTGGAATTACCTGTAAAATTATCGATTGAAAAATCACGAGAGGAATCAAAAATCTTCGTCAAATGTGCGATGGACAATAGTCGCATTGAAAAAAGTTGTACATCTTCGACGGATTTGACGATATCATCTACTCCTGCTGTTACTGCTACTACTACTATTACTACTACTACTAATACTACTAATACTAATACTGGTAGTGTTTGTTCGAGCGAGGAATCGTCGAACGTTGATCTTCCGGCGGGTAATGCTAGCAACGCCCTTCCGGAACCCTTCAAAGTTCCCGAAGTGAGCGACGTGTTGCAGCATACAAAGAAGCGTACGTCCAAACGTAAAATCACTCACGAAGAACATTATCAATTAGATGGTGAATCTGTTAAGCAAGATTTTCAAATGAATAATCCGATAGAAACGAAAGAATCGAAAAAGTTATTATTATCGATGCGTATCAATGAGAAAAATGACGAATCTTTAATGGAAAATCAATCATGCAACAACGTATCCGATAATAAAACTAAATTAATCGAACGTGATTTATTAATCGATGGGATCGGCAAATCGAGTTCGATGAATTTCGTGGAAAACGATACTCCGTCGTTGGTTGTTAATTCAAGTAAAATAAAAGGATCAACATCGTCAAGACGTAACAAACGTACCGAGGAAGAATCAACGTGTTCCGAAAATTTCGAAACAACCGATAATTTATCCGAATCTTCTTGTACTAGCGAGCCTGGTAATAATTCCTGTCCAAGAAGAAAACGTTTTACGAGAAAGAAGAAAAATCATCAGGAAATTAACGAGGATCCAGAAACCGATGATTGTTTATTTAACGATAACAAGTTGTCGGATGGTAGAACGAGTTCAAATGGAATCGAAAGAAGACAAATTCCAAAGAGACGAGCCAAAGACAATATTTCATTCCTCGAAGATTTTTCAAACAGCGAAAGTTCCGAGGAAACATTTTACGAAGTACCAAACTACGTTGTCGATCGGAAAGAAGAAAAAGCAGCAGGAGGAGGTGTTGTTGAACATTTCGTTAATGAAAATAAAAATTACGAAAAAAAATCATTGAATACGTCATTGGAAGACGTCAAATCGATCAACGAAATGATTTCAACCGACGACAAGGATAATAAGAACAACAGTGAAACTGATAAAGATGATTCCTTCGTTTCGGAACAATCGATTAATGCGAACGAATCGGAATTCGGATTGGACGGTCGTCAAATTTTGGATGATCTTCAAACACCGAAAAAACGTACAGCTGGTAATTTCGTAGTCGTCCATACGAAAACCGGTGAAATTTTGATCGTAGAAAAACGTAAGAAACTCACCAAAGAGGCTGCCAGATTTTTCTGCGACGTTTGCGCAACCAGTTTTACCCGAAAGAGTTCCCTTAAAAAACATCAACAATCGCAATCTCATTTGATACAATTAACCAAGTCGGACAAAGAAAAAGTCATTAATTGCGATAATAAAAATGTAGAAGATGACAGATGTCAAGACAGCAATAATTGGACGATCAATGAAAATGATCCAATTAACGATGAAATTGATGATAAAGAAACAATCGAATCAACGGATGATAATTTACAAATGGCTACCAACGATGATTTGTCTAATTTTGAGAAAAATGATACCTCGTCTGATTATTTAAACAATATAGAATCTACTGCTTCTTTCGAACATTCGGTTAATAATCATCAAGAAACCTTGGAAGATGAACTTTTAGATGAAGAAATTTGTAAGATAACTGAAAACATGAGCCACGACGAATATGTTTTAACCGATCACGTTAGTCCAATACCACAAGAATCATCGTCTACTCCGTTGAAAAATGTAACTAAAAAAATTGACGAAGATAATAAAAAGAAAAAGAATGATAAAAAGCGTGACAAAACGAAGAAAAGAAATTTGGCCGAAGAACATTTGGATTTGAATACTCCCGAACCAAAAAAAGTGATCATAGAACAAAACAAATCTGTTATTAAAGATTCTGATTTAAATAAGAAAACTGCAAATGATGATAATGATGATGATAATGATAATGATAATGATAATGATAATGATACTGTTGTTGCATCATCTTGGAATTCTAAAATTACAGAAACTCTCGTAAAAGATAATACATATTTGTTAGAAAATGATATCGTTAATGTTCGTTTTAATCACGATACTAAATCAAACGATCCCGAATCAAAGATAATGCATGGCGATTTAAAAGAAAATGATTTAATTAAAAATGATTTTTCTCAATCTGTTATTAAAACTAAACAAAATTCAACGGAAGAAGAAGAAGAAGAAGAAGATGGTATCGGTGCTAATTGCATCGAAGAAAAATCTGATAATAACGTTACTTTTAATTGGACTAGCATCGAAAAAGAATTACAATCAAAGCTTGATTCTATGAAAGATAATGAGAATAAGGTTAACGAGATTGCCGATGAAATTTGCATATCCTCGAGTACGAATTACAAAAGTGATACAATTAATAACGATTCGGATAGGGATTTGGAAGAAATTAATGCTAATAAAGATGAGATTAAAGTTATCGAATCATTAAATAATTTAAAAGAATCGAATATGTTTGTTGAAAATTTGGAAAATAAATCGATCGGTAATGTAACAATAGAAACTAACAATACTGTTGAAGATTACAACGTATATAATAACGTTGATGAGACTAATCGATATTCCGTATCTTTGAATAAAAATGATGAAATTGATTATGATAAAAAGATAGAAGAAAATTTTGATAATACGAAGACGAACATAGAAAACGAAGAATTTCAAAAGAATAACGTCGATGGTGGTAGTATTGATCAGAAAACGTATGAATTATCTAACGGAAATTCAATAGAAAATATTTTGAAGAAAAATAATGAAGAAAATTCGAATAAAAATTCTGTACATTCAATTGTGGAAAGTTTCGATAAAAATGTGCAAAGTTTCAAAGAAAACGAATCGTTAATATTGAAAGAAAACGATGATGAATTAATCAAAGTTGATATTACACGAGAGAAAGAAACGTCAATGATTTCTAATGTAGACAAAATTAAATCTAAAAACAATACTTCGGATTCTTTTGAAATCGAAACTAATTCAATTTCGAGAAACGTTAAGAAAACATCATCGAAATCTTCTTCTAAAAGGCATCAACGTATTGTTCAAACGTACGAAGAAGAAAAATCGATATCGAATGTTAACAACGAGACGACGACGATGACGACGACGACTGGGTCAAAATTATTAGAACGGAATGATTTATGCGTATTTGAAGATAATATCGAACGTATAATTCATTCGACGATTGAAACAAAAATAATCGATCCTATTGTAATTACGAACAATGATAAATTCATTCAAAACGATTTGTTGTCATCGTTTAACGATAATTCGCGTAACAATGAAATCATTAACAAAGTTTCACCTTTAACGATTAATAATCAAAATGAAAAAATTTTGGATAATAATTTATCCATGGAAAAAAATCCAAATTGTATGAACGATTATATTAAATTTATTCAAACGAACGAAGATGCTTTATCGTCGTCATCGTCATCGTCATCATCGTCGTCGTCGTCGTCATCGTCATCGTCGTCGTCATCATCGTCATCATCGTCATCGTCGTCATCGTCATCGTCTAGTTTAACCGATAAACCACTTTCCGAATTTTTAATTGAAATGAATAATAAAAAGAACAAAAAAATAATACAAATGAAAAATGATGATAATTCACCAATCGACAAAGAAGTATTAGTCAAGGAATCTCAATTAGAAAATAATACCGATAAGAAGGATACACAATCATGGATATCTGGCGAATCCGAAAGTGAAAATGACAATAGCGTTAACGAAGAAGAAAATGATGATGTTCCGGATATTAAGCAGGACGATTTAAAGGTAACAAATCATAATTACAAGCAGCAATCTGGTAAAACAAAAAAAATAGATAATGACAAGTTTTTCATTAACGAACGTGAAATAAATGTCGACGAAACAATACCCATTGACGATCGTTATATCGAGAATACTAAATCTCGAGCAAGTTCATTAACGATTAATAAAAAGATGGAAGAAGACAAATTGGAATTCGTTCGTACGTTGAATTCTGAATCTCGTGGTTCGTCGAAGAAATTAGGTAAGAATAATAAATCGTCTAAAAAAATGACTCATAGAAAATCTCGGATGACAAAGAAAAAGAAAACAACGATGATGGCCAAATTGAAAATCGCTGATTTATCCAGCGACAGCGATGGTAGCGAATACGAAGGTCTCGACGAATCACAAAACAAGAATAAAATAGTTAAAAGTGTGTTTGGTCGTGTGTTTGGTTGTGAAAAAATGGATAAAGTTAAGGAAGTATTGAACGATTGGGTTTCGAAATCTGAAAATGATTCTGATACATCGCGTAATGGTTTTGAATCGAAGGAATTTAATGGGAATAATGTTCCATTGAAAGTATCACAAGGAGGAGGAGGAGGAGGAGAATTTTTGGACATGAAGAATATCGATTACGAGAATACTAAAAAACATCGTTCAATCAATTCCAATAGTAAACGAACGAGCAACAAACAAGATGTCAAAAGAAGAAATTCATTTTCCCATAACAAACAAGAGAAAATTTCATCGTCCAACCGTCAAGAACATTGTCGACGTGGTAATAACAAACATTCGAAATCTAGAAATAATTTGAAGCATCGTGTTACGCAAGAAGAAACTTCCACGCGTAATAATAATTCGACGGTTACGTCGATTTTAGAACCCGAAGTATCAACATTCAATTCTAGATGTAGATTGAGTAAGAAACGTGCACAAGAAAAGATATCGTGGTCTTTCGAATTGTCAAATGGTCTTGACGAAGTTCTACCTCGCAAGAATTACAAACAAAGGAATAAAGAAAAAACGTCTTACGAGTTAAGGAAATCATCTAAATCAAATGATTCAAGTGTTAAGGATAATGGTTATGGTTCTATCGATTACGATAGAACATTTGTGAATTTTAATAATGAAGAATCAACGAAAAATTCCAGAAAAAAGAATAATCGTTTGGTCAAGCAGATTGTTGATATCGAAGAAAATAAATCTCTTCGAAAATATGGGAAAAGAATGGTGGTCACGAGTGACGAAATAAACGAAACCAAAATCGATACGGTTGATTTGGCAAAGAACAAACATTTCAATACGATAGATATCCGACAAGAAGAAGAAGAAGAACAACAACAAGAACAAGAACAAGAGGAGGAGGAAGAGGAAGAGGAAGAAGAAGAAGAAGAAAACATTGTGGAAGAAGATGAAGATGAAGATAAAGGTGTCGATAACAATTTGTACGAAAATGAAATCGTATCGTCGACTGGACAGATGATCAATCAGGATACAAAAGTCAGATTAACGAATATAGATAGAGATTCACAAATAAGTTGTGAAGAGGAAAGTGAAATAGATGACGAGGAGGAAGTAAACAACAGTGAAATAAATTGTGAAGAGAGAAGGATATCTCCTTTGTTTGCTCGTGATACACCTGATATTTCATTAGGGAGTAGTTCGAACAGTGAAAACGAAGACGACGATGAAGAATTGGAAAATGAAAATGAAGAAGAACAAGAACAAGCAACAACAACAACAACAACAACTGCAGCAACAGCAACAGCAACAGCTGTAGCAGTAGTAGAAGAAGAAGAAGATGAAGAAGAAGAGGAAGACGAAGAAGAAGAAGAAGAAGAAGAAGACGACGAAGATGATGAAGAAGAAGACAGGAAACATACTTCAGATGTAACCAGGAAAAGAAGTCCTAGTGTATTTTCTAACGGTAAAGTCTTGATTAGATCGCCGTCCTCGAGTCACAGAGATCGAACTGAAGTTATCACCATAGCACCAACAGATGCCATTGAAGATAATGCTTTAGATGTGCCACAGGAAATAGAATCGGTCAAGCCACGACAAGGTAAGGTGTTAAACTTTGACGAGGAACTTTTCGTCGAGTGTTGTTCAAGATTGAAAGCAACAACGGAAAACGAGTTACGCGGAGCTAAAAAGATCAAGCTCGATCATTCGGATGCTTATCATAAAAAGGACGATCAGGTACAACTTTATAGGACCAATAAGGATCGATGGAGAGATGTTGAAAGTCAAAATAGTCTTGGAAGTCTGTTGGAATCGGTTAATCAGGTTAGTAAATTTATCTGATTTTGCAGAATGAAGATTATTGTGATGAATGAATTAAACCATAATCTACTTACGTAAATCCTATTTATAACTTTAATGCAATCGAGACAATATTGTACACAATACGGGGGGGATTATGTTAATAATGAAATATTAATATTTTATCTCTTTAAGGTAATAGAATAACTTTAATGAATCATTAATTATTTTCAGTTACTCGGTGAAGAGATGCATAGTACGCGAGAAAGAGAATATAGTAAACGCGGTGGTAGAACTCGGAATGTACAAAGCGAACAATCCAGCAGATCGGTCAGCCCTGACATATCTCGTGCTGATAATCCTGGTTACGAAGATAGTCTCGATGTTGCATTCGAGCATAACAACAAGCTCCGCGACAAGATTCAACAACGTATGAGAGAGAGCGAGAATCTTATAGCAAGTACATTCGGACAACGATCCGGAAGCAATACCACTGACGATGTATACGAACGTCAACGTCAAACCGATCATAGTAAAATGAACGAGGATGACAACGATGCTCCTTATTTACGGATCGATAATCACGGACACTTGTCCAACTCGAACGGGAACCGTAACGACACCACTAATATCGATCATGTTCAAGATAATCAGATAGCTAAGACAAATTTAGATGCATCAGGATTTAAAAGCAAAATGAATTCAGCCTTGGGCGGTCTTTTGGATAAAGCATTATCGAATTTGTTGCATAATAACGGCAAACACGACCACAAGTGAGTAGAAAAGTTCCTTTTTATTTCATATTTTTTTTCTTTTGATAATCCTATTACTGACGATACGAATTTTCCTTTTTCTTATTCGCAGTGGTTCGACCCCGATGAAGGTTCTCGCTGAATTAGCTTGTGCACGTGCACCAAGATCTACTTCACCTGAAGATCGACAGACTAAGATCACCGTACCAATCAAGGAAACGATTCAGGAAACGATATCGGTGACGGTAGGAAAGGATTTACAACCTAAGAAAGCAAGAAATCCGATACAGGAATTATTCGAGAGGAAAAAGGAGATGAATGAACGAAGACAGCAAGAAAGATCGCATATTGATACTGCGTTACACGAATTTAGCATAATACAGAAACAACAACGTAAATCTAAGAAAACGAAAAAACGTCCGGAATTTCCGTTAATAAAAAAAAATAATCAGGGTGGATTAGCCGAAAAGAAAAAACGTCGGGATAATTTTGAACGTAAGAACAACGAACTGAGATCGGAAAAGATCAAAGACGTTTACGATTTCGATGAAGACGAGAGTCAAATGGAACCAGCTTTCGGTGGTGTCATGTCTTACAGAACAAAAGTTGAGAAAAATTATGAGGTTAGTTGTATTAGAACAAAGGAAGTCGATGTAGCTGACCTGTTATCGAAAGCTATCGGCGATAGTTTGGAAAATGGAAAAACTGGAGATGTTCTCGGAACGAGATTGGAATCTATGATTGATCGTAAGTTCAAGGAAATGGAAAAGTTTGCACCTAAAACGAAAGGTGCATTGAAAGCATTCCAAAGCGAGGATCATCATCATCATAATCACCATCATCACCACCATCAACAACAACAACAACAACAACAACAACAACAACGTCAACGAATCACAGGTCCTATGGATGAGTTTGTAGAAAGAAAACAACGTCCTAAACAACGATCGGTTGATCAACAAAAGCATACAAAATTCAAGAAAAAGAATAAAAATCCTAAAAAGAAACCAAGGAATGCGTGGTACGAAAACGACAGTTCGGATGAGTATAGAACAGCTGCTAAAACTGAAGACGTTGGGGTAGGTATTTCAAAGAGTCAACGTACATGTTCTAAAGGTAAACAAAACCTTTTCGCCGAATTATCTACATCATCCGAAAGTGAATTTGAAGACGGTGGTATTGGCTACGAATCTAAGGGACGCCGACGAGTGAAGAAAACCGTCAAGAAAGATGTTGAGGTAGAAGAGGTTGATAAGATCGAGAGAACCGAAGAAAATTATTGTTTCGGTGATCGAGATCATCAAGATATTGAGGAGGAGGAAGAGGAGGAAGTAGAAGAAGAATGGGCGGCTACAAATCGTGGGACTGATATTATTGACACTACTAAATACATTGATATCGATCATAAGAAATCAGAATCCGAAATGTCGGATCATCCATTAGTGATCGATGAGAGAAAAGAAATTAACGAGCATAGAAATAGCGATGACGATGCCGATAATCAATCCGAACGTATCTTGGAACTAGACGATTTGTATCGAGAAGATAGTTCGGTTGCTGATTCGGACATTGAAGATAACACGATAACCGATTTAAGAGAGATTCCAAATGAAACTATTGCTAAGAGTCCAATTCCTCAAATAGAAAAGACTTCGCAAAATACGAGAACGGATTATACTCCAGATGATGAACTTATTCCATTAGAGGAAGCTTTAGATTTGTTGGATAGACCGGAGATATTGAATACCGACGTACACGTAAATCAAATTGAACAGACAAATGCTATACCAAGTACTGAACTTATCACTAATAAGATCGTTGATCCAGTTAAAGAAACTGAACAAGAAGGATATCAAAGTACGAATGAAGAACAGGATGAAGAAGTTGACGGCGATGTTCTCGAATTACCAGAGAAATTATCGACTAATGAGAAACCAAAAAAGGAATCGGACAATCTACCTTTGCATGTGTTCTTAAGTAGAAAAGTTCAAGAATCTAAGAAAAGGAAACAACAACAATTAAAGAAATTACAGGAAGAACAAGAAAGGATTCTCATGGAATTTCAACCGACCAGAAGGCAAAGAAAGTGTGCAATTGGCAAACAAGGTCTGTTAGCAGAGATAAGTAGCTCCGATGAAGAATCTAATACTAGAGAAACTCAAAGTAGAAAATATACCGATAAATCGGATCACGAGAAAACGAAAAAACAAAAAAGAGAATCTAAAGAAAAAAGAAAGGAAAGGTATTTGGAAAAGAAACACGAACAGATAATAGCGAAGGAACAAAAAGCGATCGAGGAAGAGATCTTAAGAGAACTCGAGAAGAAAAAGGAAAGCGCACAGAAGACAACAACAACAATTAATAATCTCGAATTAAACATTGAATCTTCTGTTATCGAACAAACAGTACAATCGAACAATTTAACAGAAAACAAAATTGTTTCGTCGGATGAAAGTCTTGATAAAAGGAAGCATCAAGTGAGTAAAGATAAATCGAAAAAGATAGAAGAATCGATAGTAAACGACAGAATCCTTGATTGTCCTTCTGTAGATTCTGAACATAATCGTGAGAAGACAGAGCTGAAAGGTAACAATAATGAAATAGCTAATGAAAATGAGAATCATTTATTGGACTCTGGTTTGAAATCGAAAAAGGGTACGACGAAGTCCTCTTCGAAATTAAAGAAATCGGTAAAAGGTAATGAGAGTAAAACAGTGAACAACGGAAATAAGAGGAACAAGTTAACGAATTCTGATCGATCGAAAGGCGGTCGTATCGGGACAACAAATGGAAAAGATTTAAAGGAAAGAAAATCGTCTAATGGTAGGAAAGATGGTGACGATGACGAAGAATTGAAAACTACTAAATCGTGGAACAAAGTTGACGAAGGAGTTGGTGTTGCAATTGGTCGGAGAAAACGTGCTGCAGTTAATCAACTCTATTATTGGTCAAGTTCCAGCGACGAGGAGGAAATTATTGAACCAACGCCAGTGGTCGAGGAAGAGGAAGATGATCGTCAGGAACAGCATGGTTGGATTGTTGGCGATTCGCACAAACGTATGATCACAATGCTGGCGATGGAAAAACAATTAAAAGAGAAACGACGTAGGAGCGAGGATGAATTTGATTCGGTTAGATCTAAGAGCAAGAAGCACAGAAATAGTACTTCTTGATACGTGTTTCACGATTAGATTTAATCATATAGATATCGAATAGGACACAAATATAGTTATATACGTATTATTAATTTTATTTTTTCTCCTTTTAGTATATATATTTCTCATTATTAGATTTTTCTAAAAGGAATTAAAAAAAGATGATGATGATTTATTCATTCTTTATGTTTCGTTTATTTTCAAAACGAGTTATTGTATTTAGAAGAAACCCCTTATAACATGAACGATATATATATATTTAAAATGATAGATAAATGTGATCTACTGCCAGGAAACATTTATTTTTTTTTTTTCTTTCTTTTTTCTAATTGAATTAAGTTGTTTATATAAAATGCGAATGAAAATGTTCTATCTTATCGAATTAATTTTTTAGATTTAGATTTTTCAATGATGAAATAATATAAGTCAGAGTGTAGTAATATTAAAGTAATATAGTAGTAATGCGGCAGGTAGCTGCGTAAAGAAAAATGTATGGAAGAAGAATAAAACAAAAAACTTAAAAAATATAAAAATATAAAAAACGTAAAATGAAAAAAAAAAAAAGTAAAATATAAACAGCAGCAAAATGTACATAATGGCCGCTTGTGGTATAATATTACGAATGAGAATTATTAGCGAATATATTCTTCTTCTTCCCTTTTTTTCTTCCGTTTCTTTTTCTTTATTTGTTTGTTATAAGAAAAATAATAAAAAAAAAAAAAAAACGTAATTCTAAGGATCTTATAAATATATTATTATATACGAGGAATATGAGTGTCTGCTGCATCGAAAAGAAATGTGAATGCATGTGTGTGCATGTGAGATGAGGAATGTTGCATGTGTCTGCATATATGTATATGTGACTGAATTATATATATATATATATTATATATATATATATATATAAATCTCTGAATATAAATATATAAAATAAATATAAAATAAATATAAATATAAAAAAAAAAAAAAGAAAAAAGGAAAAAATGTAGAGAAAGAAAAAAGGCACACAGTAAAGAAGGGACACCTTTAGAGACAATACTAGAAAACATTTACAGTTAGTTGCATAGGGGATTTTTTGTAGAATAAAGAAAAGTGCGAAAGGAAAGAAAGAAAGAAAGAAAAATAGGGAGAGAAAGAGAGAGGACAAAAGAAAAAAGAAACCAGAAACAGCTGTTTACTTCTGACGGACAATGTAAACTGGGGTCCAATCAAAGTAGCGCTTTTGCCAGCTTTTTGTGATTCGTACATATCGCTGAGAGCAGATCGAGAGACGTGGTTTTTCAAAAAAAAAGAAAATAAAAGAAAATAAAAGAAATAAAAAATAAACATTGAGGTTTAACACAAGAATTGTTTAGATGTAACACACGCGCATATACACACAAACACACGTGTAGAAAGAATTAAACAAAAAAATACATTATATAATTTAAAATACAACAAAAACAACAAAAATAATAATGCATTGAGAAAGGCTGCTTTAAATAATATATCAATGAAAACAAATGTAAAAATTTGTTTTTTTTTCTCTTCTTTTTTATTTCTTTTTTTTTTTCTCTTTTCATTTTTTCCCATTTTCTTCTGCTCGTTGCGTTATCGAATTTTTACGATAGATCTCGCACACGTCATGCTGAAACAAATAGCGACGTGTCGTGTATTTAATTGATTAAAAAAAAAAAAAAAAAAACGGAAGAAAAAAAGGAGGGGATGGGGAGAAAGCAAACAAAATAAAAGGAAAAAAAAAATTATATATATAATACTTATTGATGCAAAGCTATGATTTTTCCTACCGTATGCTTTAGTAAAAAAAAAAAAATGCATATTATTAATAAACGTAAGTAAGTTAACGCAGATTTCGTATTGAAATAAAACAAAAAAAAAAAAGTTATATATGTACGACATAAAAATGGATAATAGACTTTAAATGTAAATGTACTGCCATAATCATTATTATACGAAAGCCTATGCAAATGTAGTTTATTAATACTATTCCTGTAAAGTGAGAAGAGAAGAGTAGGGGTAGAGGAGGAAAAAACAAAAAAAAAATAAAAAAGAAAGAATGAAAGAAAGAAAATGTTAGCACAAAAAACTAGATAATGATCCAGTGTAAATAGAGCATATTTTCAATGTGTCCGGAAAAGTATGTTTTGTAATATAAGGATTGCAAAGGAAAATAAAATTACTAAAGAATCATTTGTGTTATTTGATATGTGTGTGTATATATATATGTGCATCCAAATAATTGATATTTTATTTCTATTGATATTAAATATCATGATTTGTGTATTTTTTTCTTTTATGTTGCAAATATTATATATATGTATATGTATATAAATACATATAATTAAATTAAATTTCGAAGGAAAATATTTTCTTTAGTGTATATATAAATATATAAATAATAATAATATAATATATAAATATATAAATAATAATAATATAATATATAAATATATATATAATTAGTATGAGAATAAAATAATTTATTAACTATATATAGATTTTTCTCAAATATTAAAAAAACGTTCTTTGTGCAAATATTTTTACGTATAAATAATATAGATATGAATTACATTTAAAACTATTCTAATTTAAAAATCTATTGCAATTGATTTGAGGTTGTAGACATTTAAAAGCGACTCTAGCGACATCAACAACCAATAAGAATTTGTTTGAAATTATTTTATTACTCAACATTTGGCCAACCTGCTTACATTCATCGAACGACGATGAACGAATAACCTAAACTTTAGGTTTGATTGGCTTTTAGAAAAGTTTTACATCCATAATTTGATATATTACATGTATGCCGTTAAAAACAGGAGTGCTTTAAAAAAATCTATTCCATATTACATCGTAACTATATAATTGAAAAAACGATGAAACAAATTTTATGTAGTAGATTGGGGTAAGCTTAATACACAAAAAAATTTTTAAATGATTATTTAAATGAGTAAAATATACAAGGTTATTTTGATTTTAAGCTTGTGTGTATTGAATTGATTTTAATTATTTTATTAAACAAATTATTATTAATTCTCTCTGAAATATATCTGTTTTAAGATTATATATTAAAACTTCACATTGTGATCTAAAATATTCGACAAGTCAGATATAATTAACTTCACTTTAAAAATTTGGAAAAAAATATTATTATTAAAACACTTGAGATCAATAATTAACTTTTTTATATTTAAAATAAAGATCCTCTTAGCATTACTAAAATAAAAACACTTTGTAGAGTTGATTAATATAATAATAATAAATAATAAATAATATGACAGTGTATATTAATTAAACAATTTTCTCTACTTGTTGTTTTGTGGAGTTGCATATTAGTGACTCGTAAATCACACATTTCATTATATAATTTATGATAAAATAATAAACATAACACATATTCCTTTTAGGCACAGTGTATTACTCGTATCAAAATCTTCTAAATATCCAATATCCAAAATTACAACACGATGTTTAATGTCAGGAAAAATAAACAAATTATGCAGGCCAATATTGGCATCTCCACATATACGTTACTTTGCAAATCCTAATCGTGGCTATGCCATGGTCATTGCTAGGATATTAAGAGGTGCATTGAAAGTACGATACATACTATTAGGTGGTGCTTTAGGTGGTGGAGTTACATTACAAAAAGTAATTATAATAATATACAATACCAGGAATTATAATCTAAAGGGAGTAAATTTTTATATTAGTATAATAATGTTTTGTAGAAATATGAACAATGGAAGGAAGGTTTACCGGATTTGTCTTGGATAGATAATTTTATTCCTACCGAACAACAATGGCAAAAATTTCGTGGCTCACTGGTAGAAGCAAAAACTATATTAATTGATAAGATCGAAATAGGTAAGTATAGAAGGATTAATATTAATATTTATGAAAGCGTTAGGCAAAATATTGGGAATTGTATATAATAAAAAAAAATGAGAAAATACAAACAGATCCACGTATAAAGGAATTTGGGGAGGCTAAATATAATGAGTACAGGAGATGGTTTGATCAAAGATTGGAGAATGCTGTTAAAGCAGCAGAGGAGAGAGCATTAAGAGATGTCGAACAAGAAGAATCATCTACACGTGAGTGAGAAGGAATTTTTGTAATCTTTTAAAAATCCTTTTTTATCAATCCAATTATACCATAACACTTGATGTGATTCGTTGTTTTACTAATCCTTAATTTGCCTGACGTTTTCTCTCATTTCTATTTTATTTTATATTATAATACACTAATATTTATATTTGGGTTATTATTTATTTACTAAATCGATTAACTCCATAGAAACAAAAGTAGACAAAATTCATAATGTTACATACATTGCCATATCAATACATATGTGTAAGGTATGACGAACGTTTACAACACTTTTTCACATTCCTAATGGTTCTTTTTGGAGTCAACAGCACCTGGTGTTTCAAAGTGGTATCCTTCTAGATATGGATATCGGCCATCAAAGTGTTCATTATCAATACTTGTTTTTTCTTTAAATATTGCTTAATATCGCACTTTGCTATAATTGTTAAATCTTTTTACACAATTTATAATTTGTTCATTTAATATTATTTTATATATGTATATAAATAATTTACTTATTCAAAAAGCATTTATGGATTGCATGGATACAAAAAGAATATAGTTAAATCGATATTTAAAAAAAGAATATTATTTAATTCTAAATGCATGGTACTCCTATAAATGATCTCTATATTTGTGTAATAACGTTGTAGTTATTTTATACATCAAATAATATATATGGTTATTTGAAATTAAAATCTCAATTAAATGGTATTATACAAAAAAGCAATTGTTTTGGATAAATATATATCCTGATATAAATTTGTTTAACTTAATCGTAATCATTTCAATAGTAGTAAGAAACTTTTAATTTTGTATAAAACCATATATTATTTTATTTTTATTTTTATTTTCATTTGCACTTCTTGAGTAAATAGACATGGTCTGTTCTGTTCAGGTGTAATTGACGCAATCACAACGATAGCAAACCAAGTTTATTCAGGTGTGTAAAAAGTGCTAATTAATAAGTTACCAATAGGTAACTTGCAGTCTGTCCATTCAGCATTTTAATTAAATGAAATATAAAGATATTTCTTTTTTTTTTACAAAAAGCACTTATGGGTATTGTATTTTGTAAAATGTTGAATGATAATTAGGTCTAAATACTGAATGGGGCAGACCTTTTATTTCACAATCGTATTTTGTTTTAATCATACTACATGTTCACAAAATTATACTAGTTTTTTATACTTTACTAGTTTTCATAAACTACTTCAAAAATTATAACAATTATCTAATATCCTATTATTAAATTTGTTTTTTAGAAGCGAAAGATGAATTATCAAAGAATGCGGTTGCTTTTGCTCGTCCATTAGTTAATGAGAATATTGAAGAAGAACGCAGAAAAGCTCGTACGTAAATAATATATTTGTATAACATTATTTTTTATGCTAATTTTTTTTTATAATTAAATTTATTACTATTTATATTTTTAAGAATCGTCACAACAGAGATTAGATGCTATGCAAGATGAATTAATGCAAATGCAATTAAAATATCAACGTGAACTTGAAAGATTAGAAAGGGAGAATAAAGAATTACGGAAACAAATGTTATTAAGAGGAAATCAGAAAGTAAATAATAGAAAAATAAAGGTAAGAGAATTTTATATAATTTTTCTTATGTTCGATTAAAAAGAAACATTACGATAATATTTTTAGAAATCCTTGATAGATATGTATAGTGATGTTTTGGATGAATTAAGTGAATATGACAGTGCTTATTCGACTGCTGATCATCTACCTAGAGTAGTAGTTGTTGGTGATCAAAGTTCTGGTAAAACATCTGTACTAGAAATGATTGCTCAAGCAAGAATATTTCCAAGGTATTATTTAAAACTATACGGAATGTAAAAATGCTACCAAATACAATATATGCAGTTTTATTATTTTAGGGGTGGTGGTGAAATGATGACACGTGCACCAGTCAAAGTTACTTTAAGTGAAGGACCATATCACATTGCACAATTTAAAGATAGTTCTCGTGAATTTGATTTGACTAAAGAATCAGAATTAGCCGAGCTTAGACGAGAAGTTGAATTACGTATGAAGAATAGTGTGAAAAATGGGAAAACAGTTAGTCAAGATGTTATTTCTATGACTGTAAAAGGCCCTGGTCTTCAACGTATGGTGTTAGTTGATCTTCCTGGTATTATTAGCGTAAGTAAAATATTTGATTATGTGATTATCAAGTTATAATGTAATATATAATAGAGTACATACATATATAAACTATATTAAACTGAAATATATATTTTGTAACAGACAGTTACTGTTGACATGGCAGAAGATACTAAAGATGCTATTCGACAAATGACTCAACAATACATGAGTAATCCTAATGCTATAATCCTATGCATTCAGGATGGATCGGTTGATGCAGAAAGAAGCAATGTAACTGACCTCGTTTCTCAAATGGATCCTACTGGAAAAAGAACTATTTTTGTTTTAACTAAAGTAAACGGAGACATATTCTCATTAAAAGATAAACTGTATATTATAAATATTTGTGATTTAATTCTTTTTGAATTATCATGTTTAGGTAGATTTAGCAGAAGAAAATTTAACTAATCCAGAAAGACTCAAGAAAATACTGCAAGGAAAATTATTCCCCATGAAAGCTTTAGGTTACTTTGCTGTTGTCACTGGTCGTGGTAAACAAGATGATAGTATACAAACTATCAAGGATTATGAAGAAAAATTCTTTAGAAATTCCAAACTTTTTAAGTGAGTAGAAAATATTAAAAGAAAAACAAATAAAAAACGTAAAATAAGAAATGAACATAGTGAATTATATGTACTTTAAATATTTATAATATATATATTATTTTATCTAGAGATGGTTTGGCTATGTCTGGTCAAGTAACTACTAGAAATTTGAGTTTAGCAGTAGCTGAATGTTTTTGGAAAATGGTAAGGGAAACGGTAGAGCAACAAGCTGATGCCTTCAAAGCAACTAGATTTAATTTAGAAACAGAATGGAAAAATAATTTCCCAAGGTAATAAATGATTTTAACAATTAACAAAAAACTCAAATTTATATTTCCATTGGATTAATAAAATATTTATTATGTTAAGATTACGTGAGTTGGATAGAGATGAATTATTTGAAAAGGCCCGTGGTGAAATTTTGGATGAAATCGTGAATTTATCTCAAGTATCACCTAGACATTGGGAAGAAGTTTTAATGACACGAATTTGGGAAAAAGTTAGTATGCATGTATTTGAAAATATCTACTTGCCTGCGGCACAAAGTGGAGGTCCAGGTACGACAACTTTTTAAAAGTAATAATTGTAAACAAAAAGTAAAAATTGATTAATATAATATTCTCTTTTTTATTTATTTTAAATATGATATTATATTATATATATTTTTAGGTACATTTAATACAACCGTCGATATTAAATTGAAACAATGGGCAGATCAGCAATTACCAGCTCGTAGCGTTGAAAGCGGGTGGGAATGTTTACAACAAGAATTTCAAAATTTCATGGCACAGGCACGTTTGAATCCTGATCACGATGATATTTTTGATAATTTAAAGAATGCTGTAGTGAGCGAGGCTATGAGAAGACATTCGTGGGAAGTAAAAGTATGTTTTATTATGCAGAGAATGTCCTAAAAGTCGCTTTACCGAGGAAACAGCAAAACAAACAATTAATATTGATTTATATAATATAATTATAAAATGTTGTTTTTCATTTTAAGAAATGAATATTCAGTTACAGGATTAAAAGAACTATAAGCCTATAATGTCACGACTTCGAATACTGTACAAAGATAAATTTATAATTTTTCCATTTGATGAAGTAACTTTTGGGACATTCTATATATTTATAATAAGAAAATAAGAAAAAATAATTAAAAAAATAAACCATTTGTGTTTTAATATTTTATAGGCATCTGAAATGTTACGAGTTATTCAACTAAACACATTGGAAGATAGAAGTATAGGCGACAAACGAGATTGGGATCAAGCTGTACGATTTTTGGAAACTTCTGTTAAAGAAAAATTACAAAGTACCGAACAAATTTTACGAGATATGTTAGGTCCTAATCGTAAGGAACGTTGGTTTTATTGGCAAAGTCAAACGGAGGAACAACAAAAACGGTCTGCAGTCAAAAATGAATTAGATAAAATTCTTTACACAGACAAAGTAAGATATATCATTCTTTTGTCGATATTCTATTAAAGTATTAAACTATCTATCAATTTAATATATTATATGATTTATTTTATATTAGAAACACGCACCTACTCTTAGCCAGGACGAGCTCACGACTGTTAGGAAAAATTTGCAACGGAATTCCTTGGAAGTAGATAATGAATTTATACGTGAAACTTGGCATCCGGTTTATAGAAGATTTTTCTTACAACAAAGTTTAGCCAGAGCTTATGATTGTAGAAAAGGCTACTTTCTTTATCACACTGGTCATGAAACTGAAGTTAGTAAAAATAGATTATACAAATAAGTCGAGTTAAATCAATTAAATTAGTTTCTGTGATTATTACAATGTTAACAAAAATATTTCGTCTTTCTATATAGATGGAGTGTAACGATGTGGTACTTTTCTGGCGAATTCAACAAGTACTAAAAGTAACATCGAACGCATTAAGACAGCAAATAATAAATCGTGAAGCTCGTAGGTTAGACAAGGAAATTAAAGAAGTTCTAGAAGATTATAGCCAAGATAATGAAATGAAGATCAAATTACTCATAGGTAGACGTGTTACGTTAGCTGAAGAATTAAGTAAGTTAATGTTAATCGTGATTTTATTAAAAAAAAAAAATGATATAAATTACAAGAACAATTTTTGTTTACAGAACGCGTTAGACAAATTCAAGAAAAACTTGAAGAATTTATTCAAGCATTGAATAAAGAAAAATGAAGCAATGATAGAAGAGAAAAACTATTGAACTATTGAATGCTACGCAAGCTGTGAGAAAATATTTTCGATGTCTACTTTATATTTTGCGATTTAACTTATTTATATTAATAAGACACGAAAAAATGTTATTAAAATCATGCTAGGGAATGCATACGAAAGGAATATAATTCTTGTAAAAGAATGAGAATGAAAAACCCAGTCTGTCGTCGCATATTTTTGTGTATCTCTTATTACTAAGATTTACAAGTTCAATTTAATCATGTGATATAAATGTATCGATGTATCCGCGAAAAGAAACCAAAAGTATGTGGAAGAAAACTTCATTGGAGCTTCTGTGAACTAAAAAAAAAAAACAAATGTAAAGTCCAAGCAAAAAATATTCTGTATAAATCAATACTTTTATTTCAAACCATTCGCTTGATATCTGTCATTATACTATCG